ATATATATATATATATATATATCTTACCCATGATGGCAAATCCTTGGTTTCTCTGATTCACTGTGATTTCATCTTTCCTCGTCTTCATCTTTGTCGCCTATTCGCGCCGCCTTGCAACGGCTCTCGCGTGAAGGCGTCGGGCTCGGGGGCCACATTTGAAGGACGTCTGGGCGCGGGCTTCTTCTGTGGCTCGTTCTTTCGTCATCCCGAGAAGCGCGGGCTCCTTTCTGCAGCTCGCGGCTCGTTCTTCGTCATCCCGAGAAGCGCTGGCTTCTTCTGCAGCTCCTGTCCTCGCTCGCAGGGAGCGAGCTTTCTTCAAGCTCGAACGAATCGCCCACTGCTCGACTTCCCTTTCGGCACTTGCTCTTCCACTACTGTCACTTTGCTATCCCACAGCCCCACCTCCCTCTTTTGGGATGGCTTCAGACAGATCGTATGCTGCTGCCCTTGCGGGTGTTCACGCCTCAGGTACACCTAAATCACCATCTTTTCCTCCTTCATTTGAGTGGGGCGGAGGACATCAAGAAGCCTGGTAGGAAAAATGGAAAGTCTGTCATCTTTTTTACAGAAGACGATCATCTTTTTTACAGAAGACGATGGTATTCAACTTGCTTCCTCCTGTCGTCTGAATTTGGTTAGAAAATTTCTATATGGTCATCCCAAAATAGAGTCCATTTGCAAAAAATTTGAACTTATGCACCCTGTTGGAGAGTGAAAAATTAGACTATTAGATGTGAGACACGTTCTTATTTAAATTAACAACGAAGAAGATTACATGCGCTTATTCGCTAGAAGGATAATCTGAATTGATAACAGAACAATGAAGATTTTGAAATGATATGTGGATTTTAACCCACAGACGGAACCGCCAATCATTTCGGTTTGGATTCGCCTCCCTGGTCAGAAATTTCATTATTTTTCCCAAAAAGTATTGTACGCTATTGCCTCAGCTTATGGAAAGCCTCAACAAGATGGACATTCCTACTTTTAATCATTCCCGTCCATCTGAAGCCAGAGTACTTGTTGAAAGAGACATCACTTCACCCGCTACTGAGGAAATCTGGTTGGGCATACAACACCATGGCAATATCAGCATCTACACTCCCACCTCAGACCAAAAAAACAAAGTGCTCCGCTAGAGGCTGTGATTCCATCTCACCCCGTTTGGCACCAAGTTTTTGACACTATTGATCATCAGAAGGATACCCCGAAAAACGTCAATATCCCCGTAGGCAATATGACAATCATTCAATCCCCAGTTGTAGCACCCCAGTCTTTGGAACCTCCTATCGATGGGGAGAGGGAGATTCTTCAGACTCTGCCTGCCATAGAACCTATCGTCTATAATACAGGTAGAAATAATTCTACTGCTTCACCACCGCCTCATCAAGTCCAGAAAGATGTTAATGTTACTTAGGATCATGGGGATCATGATGTGCAACGACCTATACCTGTTCGACCACCTTTGGAATATATTGATCAGATGAGTCAATCATTGGATGAGGAATGACAAGTCTACACATCTAGCAGGAAGAAGAAGAATGGAAATCTACTCGAGTTCAGGAATCTGATGGATGATAATTAGGTTACTACGAGCAATGGTACTCACCTTACAAATTTGTTAACCGACTCATTTCCGAAAACTCGAGACAGGAGGACTAAAATGGGACGTCCCTACCACTTTTGTGCACTTTTGTGATTTTTTGGTTTTTGCTTTTATATATTTTTGCTTTATTTAGGTTTTGTGTATGTTGTATTGTATGAGTTAGGTTTTCTTTTAGACCTTCTCACACAACATTTCTGCATCTTTTCCGTATTAATATATTTGTCCTTGGGCTTTTTCAAAAAAAAAATATATCGGCTTTTTAAAAAAAATATATATCTTACCTATGAATGAAAAAAAATGTACTCATCTTTTAAAAGTTAAAATTGTGGTATTTTTTATGTAATATGAATGAATTGGGTGTTATAAATGCGAAATATTCGGGTCACAACTCTTAACAAAAATTTACAATGATGATAATTTGTCATGAGACATAACTATATCAAGCAAGCAGAATTCAACTACATAATGCTAATGATGCTAAGCTGCATTAATACTTGTGCTCATTCAAGAAAAAAAAATCTCTGAGGGCAGTAAAATGATGATGCGGTGAATTTATTACGAGTTTTAAGTACCTTAACATTTTCACCGATTCGAGCGTTCTTGTCAATAATTGCTCTTTTAACATGAGAGTTCTTCCCAATACCAATGGGTACACTCCCCTTTGCAAATAAAAATCTCTTGCTCGCATCCGTCTGGCAAAATCATAAGAACCACACACAAGCAATGAAACAATGTTGAACTCAATTTTTATTTTGTTTGCCATTTGTCTATATTATGTGGAGGTTAAAAATCTCAAAAATACCTCATAATAATCAGCTCCCATGAGTAAAGAGTCCTCTATGATTGCTCCCTCAGAAATAAAAGATCGAAGGCCAACAACAGAATGGTGAATCTTGCAGTTCTGCAGACATAATATTGGCATGATTAAATATGCAACAAACCTTCATGAAGGGGAGTTGTTAAAAAAAAAAACCGGAGTTACAGAAAAATGAAAGCAGCCTATAGAGAAAAAATATTAATCTACAATGACTCAAGAAAAGAAAAGGACAACTAGAGGGGTTTGCGAGAAAAATAAAAGAAAAACGATAACACATTATATGCACATTCACAAACGTACTTAAGACCATCTGAACGGTTTTTCCTAGATAGAAGAACAATTATTGATGCTGCAAAGAAGCATTATCAAACATGATCGTGCTGATCAATTACATGACAATTATGTGGATAAAACGTACTTATGTCTACTCGTTTATACTAATTTCTGCAATATATTGTGATATTTTATATATCAAAATGGTTAATATTTTCTTATGTATTAAAATGAGTCAAAATGATAAAAATAGAGTAAGTGCAGGTGGTTATGGTTGCACAATTGCATTTTATGTGCAATCAAGCAGAGTTATAAGAGTTTTTATACTAATATAATTATCTATATGTGTGTTTGATACACTTGATGTAGAGAATAACAAATTTATGAATGATCTTAACTCACAAAAATGATGATATTTTGAATATATCTCTATGTTTATGCTCAAAACAATTTACACCAATGAGTCACTCTATTAGTGTGGCTTAAACCAATGACTCCACAAAAAATAAAGGTTACAATCAAAGCCCTCTAACAAATGGTTTCACGTTAGATGATAACATTAAATTACAGTCACAGTTATAGCTCATATATTTCTCAATTACTTCATGTCATTTGAGTTGTAAATCATAATGAATCATAAAGGTACATTTGATTAGCACAAAACAATCTATTAGCTAAGATTGACTTAAATTTATCCCTTTAATTATACATTCACTCTAGGTCTACAAGATTTTATTGAACAACACATTACATGATTGTTAAAAAAGACATTTTGGCATATTAGACTACCTCCTCTGACTAAGTAGCCCAAGAACTACAATAACCTCAACGATAAAATCATGGAACCTTGATTGGGTTTGTCGTCATTTTCCTTCCATCCACTCAAGTTCATCGTGGTAAATTAATTAAATCTAAAACATTAAATCTATTGGTACCATTCACTAAACAATCAATGTCTACTGACTAGCCGCAATCAAAATTGCTTTGTTATTACTAGGATGAGTAATTAATCATAGGAGGTTGTGCCTATGGGATGCCTCGAATCCTACAGCTAAGACATCGCAAAATAAGGGCAAAATCTATGATAATGTCTTATCTTCCTTCTGAAAATTTGACCCAAAACCACAAAAACTATCTCTCAATCATCTTGAGAGGGGCCAGGGCAAGAATTTTCGGAGCTCATAAGGGCAATCCCATAACATTCCACACAATCCAATAAGCCTGTGTCGCCATCCAAATCCTCAAGAAACCCACAACAGTATTGTAGTAATTTTATAGTTAGTCCTCTCCTATCCTAGAGCGCCCTTGTTTGCTATGTGCTCATGGCCTCTTTTTGTAAGGTATTTAAAAGCCCTAAGCCAACTTTTCATTTTCAAATTTTGTTTCTTAACATTATGTAAAACAAATCTAGAATATCAGATAAAATTTGAACCGTATCAAGTAATATTTTGGAATTGTGAGGAATTATGCCAGCTTAGAATTCTTAAGAAGTTATGTATGAGAAACTTTCAACAGAGACCAACTGAACCAAACCAACAAATAAAAGAGAAATAAATCAATTACATCTAAAACTAATAAACCAATTAAATCTAGAAATATCAACTTACTTCGATCACACAACCTTCACCGATTACACTATCTGTGATATCAGCACCAAGCATCTTAGAAGGAGGTAAATATCGAGGTTGTGTGTATATTGGAGCTGAACGATCATAAAAGCTGCATTGATGGCCAAATAAGCACAAAAAAAAAAAAGAAAAAAATCATTACTGGGACAACAAAAGAGCAAGCCATTTAAATACAAAATATTATTTCTCATGTTTACTATGTTTCGAAACATGTTTCAATCAGAAGAAACAAAAAAAGCTACCTGAAATCGGGAACCGGCTTTTTTGTAATTCCAAGATTTGCATTGTAAAATGCCTCGATAGTACCTATGTCTTCCCAGTAACCATCGAACAAGTAGGCCTGAACCTGAATTTCGCCAATTCATGATGTCTATATACTGCTTAAAAAATCCTTAGGATGATGCCATACCATAAAAATTAAAAAACAGTTAAGGTTAAAACATAACATTCTGACATGCAAATAGAAATTCAATTCTGCATCCCATATAGCACATGCAGCAGAATTCGGGGAAACTAGACTATATAGAATGGAGAAAACTTGTGATAGTGATAAAGTGTGCTACAACTATATGAAATAAAATTAAAAAAAAAATAAAATACAGTGATAGAACATCACATTACTATACTGCATTCGTGGGAACTAGACTATTCTGACATGCATATAGAAATTCAATTCTGCATTCCATATAGCACATGAAGCAGAATTCGTGGAAACTAGACTACATAGATGGAGAAAACTTGTGATAGTGATAAAAAGTTCTACAACTACATTAAAATAATAATAATAATAATAATAAATAAAATAAAATAAAATAAAAACTGTGATAGAACATCACATTATTATACTGTGCAGAAAACACTGCACAAACTTACTTGTCGAAAAGATATTAGGGGCCATAGAGTAATTACACAACAAATTTGAAATGATTTAAAAACAATGAAAATATCAAATATTTGAATAACTATAAATGATCGGCATATTGTGTGCCTATACACTTCATGGGCTTATTTACAGGTAAATCAATGCAAAATGTCTAGGTTATGCATAAACTTAACCCTATATGATACTAAAAACAAAATATACGCCCTTAACAAGACTCATTTTTGTGTCAAAATATTATCTAGAACATAACTTATCCATGGACATACCCTCAATCCATTATTTGTCGCACCGGGAATCACTTCACTTCCAAAATCGTTTGCTGCAGGAAAATTTTCACGTAGTAGTTGCAACATTATGTCTTTACTGACCACATAAATACCCATACTTGCAATGAAAGGCATCTCTTCAGCTCTATCATCATCAAGACCTAAAATTGTCGTATCAACCTGAAAGAAAGTCGGCTACACTTCAGTGTGCACGTTCAAGAATGCACATTGAAAAAATACTAACAGCTAATTTTAAGGAACTAAAAGAACCTCGTAAGAAAATTCTACCTTCATTGCCTTCAGCTGTTCACCTTTGGGCTTCTCTGCAAACTCGACTATACGCCCCTCCTCATCAATTTTCATTAGGCCAAACGCAGTAGCCCTTTCCTCATCCATTGGAAGAGCAGCAACAGTGATATCTGCATCAGTCTCCCTATGTGCTTGAATAAACCTCTCGTAGTCCATGCGGTACAAATGATCACCAGCAAGGACTAAGAACTCCATAACATTGTGCTCTTCAAAAAGCCACAAATATTGCCGAACAGCATCTGCAGTACCCTGAGAAGTTCATTCCAGAAGAAATCAATCTGCAACGGCTATTAGCTTATGGCATGCATTGCTCAATTGGTGTTGCCTCCATTGAACCGAAGTTATAAGGATACAAAATAAAGCTAAGACAAAATGGTATTACACTACAAAACACAGAGCAACCCTGGGGTTAACCCAAACAATAATAGGAAAATCATATATTATTGTTGAATTCAATATAGGAAAACACAATTTCACAAAACAAAATAGAAATAGAGCACACACAACACACAAACTCAGTCCACGCCCGGAATAGTGGGGGTCAACTAGGTGGATTGAGAAGGGTGGTAGGTGGCTGGAATGGTTGGAGGTAGGTGGCTGGAATGGTTGGAGGGCAGCGGTTGTAGCAAGTAGGGGATTCAAAAGGGTTGTTTTAGGGACGGCGGTGAGTGTATGGCGGCTGGGAGGGCCAGGAGGAAAGCAGGTTGGCTCTTTTAGGTGACGGCAGCAAGGGAAAAGGGGATTGCGGCAAGGGGCAGCGTGATGGAGTTCTGGAACAGCGATGGTAGCAGGTATGGAGGACTGGAACAGCAGCGGAAGTGAAAGAAAAGGGCTGGAGCAGCGATGGAAGTGAGTATGGATGGCTGGAACAGCAATGGGGGATGCGGTAGACTGCCAAACAGCAAAAGGAGGGCAGCCCGGAGCAGCGGCGGCAAAGAACATGGCTGAATAGCGAGCAACCTGCAAGAAAACAGCAAAGGGGGCTGTTCCGAACGGTTGCAGCAGGGAAGGGGTGGTCGGGAACTACGTGGCGAGGATGCGGGAGGGAATGGTGAAAATAATCACCACCTCGGGAGTGAGATGCAACCGGAGCACCACCAGAACCCTTGGATAGAAGCGTCAAAGGGAAAAAGAGACACCTGCGACTCTCCCAATGTAAAACACACAAAAAAACTAACCCTAGACACTTAAAAAAGTAAATATATAATAATAATATTAGCAAAAGTAGCCCAAGAGAACCAGCCGACTCCTTAATGGGAACAACTTGGACCTGTTGGGTCCAAGTACAACAATTAGGTCATTGCTTTGTTCGTGGGGTTCCCACTTCGTGAGAAGGGGCGCTCCCATGTCAGGAATGGGGGGCGCTCCCGCATCAATCTCCTAGAAATTTGGGAACTTCGACCTCATCCATCGAAGCTTCTCTCTCTTAAAAATAATCAAGTTGGCCTAATTGAATGTGGCAAAAATGTTGCAGCTCCCAGAATGACACTCTTGTAGGCATTGTCATCCCAAAACACATCCTGATAGAATAAGCATACATCCACTTTTGATACAACTTGAGTTAGAGCTACATATAAACGTTAGATTCCCACGAGTCAAATCTCTAGTAATCAAATCTATAATTTGCTCCTTCCACTCCTTGTACTCATCCAAGTGTATCTAGTAAACAAGTATGTAAGGAGAAATCAACTATGGGACGAAATCTATAACAGGATGGAACAGACTAAAATATAATCACTAAGGAGAAGACTCTTCTTGGACCTAGATTCCATAGCAGAATATTCTTTCCCACAAAGCTCATAAAATGCATTCCAACTCTGTAGATCACCCCTCCTGTTTGACCATCTTTTAGTTAATACACTATTGAACTAAATTTAATATCTAAATGACTTCACGTGTTCTTCCAAAAGTAGCTCAAAAGCTCATTAATGATATGTTAAACCTCCCTTTGTATGGGAAACTCAGGAGATAGGCTATATATCTGAGAATTTTGAAATCTTCTTATTTGAGGTTTCCCTGTATCTAGTATCGGCTCTTCAAACTCATGGCTCTTTTGGACATCCAATAACAGTAATGCTCATCTCAATGCATACAAAAATGCAGGTCGACGACCACGATTTCATACTATGTATGAATGTCCATTACCTCACTCCATTCTAGAACAACTGTTGGTTGAATTTTGAAATCTTCTTATTTACACTTAACAATTTGATACTAAAGCTACATGAATAAATGTATACAACAAAGAAATGAGTCAAACACCCCAAACTCCTCAATTTAATCGCTAATATAATATCAGAAAAACAATAAAATTGGTTTAGATTTAAATTCACATCAAACCAATAAAAAAATCAAGTAATATAAATTTAGAAGAAAAGAACTACCGTAGGGCTTGTACCACCATGATTAAAAAAAATAATAATAATAATGGTGTAAGCATAAAAAAAAGGAGAATAACTTATTTCCTCCTCTTATCAAGGCATCCTTCAAGTTCACCTATCGTAGCCGCTAAAACACTCATCCCCGATCATGGTTAAACATCCTGTGCCTTAAAATTCAAAGACATTCATCACTTTGCTAGATATTGCACACCGCACATGATAAACTTTGTGGGACCGTTCATTCGTAACTGACCAACTACAAGAGAGGGGATAGAGTAAGCGAGCGAGTGAGGGGATAACAAGCAAGCGAGTAGGGAGATGAGTATTGCTCAAGTAGGAGAGTGCAGGCAAATGAACGATCAAGCGAACCGCACATGATAAACTGTACAAGTGGAAACTAAAAAGTGAAAACTTGAAATGACACTATCGTCGACACATTGAAACAATGTTGAAGGGTGAGAGTGATAGCAGCGAGATGCAAGAGCGAGAGAGGTGAGACTAGCGGCAATGGGTGTGAGAGAATAGAGATGGAAGACAGCAAGGGAGAAAGGCAGAAATTGAAAAGAAATTTAAGGCTTCAGGTTGTGTTGGGGATAGAAAATAGGATTAGGTATTTGATTTGCGAATTAAGGTAGATATGGGGTTCCCAACAATTGGATTAAATGTAAATTTGATCCGATCGTGAGCCACATGATTCGATCTGACCATGGATTGAAATAGGCTCAAAACCGATCTTTTAGTTTGGCTCATTGCTTCGCTCAGTTGTTAGGACAAATTTTGATTCGAGCTAAAATTGGATTCGATTTTCGAGCGATTTACAATCTTCGAGCCAATTTCACAGCCCAAAGGCCAAGGGGAACTAAATACAAAAGAGGGGATAGTGCAAACGAGCAAGAGAGGATAACAAACAATCGAGCAGGAATAAAAGTGCTACAGCAAAAAATGAGAAGGTGAATGAGTGAATTAGCAAGAGAGCTACAATAAAAAAGTATGAGGGAGAAAATCAAAGAAAAAACCGAAGCATTAACATCATCGGTTCCTAAGACATGCAATTAACAACCAAATAGGGGATCAACTGTTAAGTATAATCTTTAAAATATATAAGTTAAGAATAGTTTGAGAAAATAATAAAAATCACCGAGTAAAATTAAGCTTATGTCTAATGATAGTTTATTTGAAAGTAATTCATCTTATGTTTCATAAGGGAATCTATTTTACTAACCACGTTACTTTCTATATGTACACATCAATATATTTCATATAATATTTAAATAGATTTTTATGGAGTCAAATCCCCTTTTTAAAGGTATTAAGGATTTTATTAAGACAAGAAGAAAGTTATTTTATAGTGAAAATATTAAATAATGCATTAATATTAAGATTAATTATGAATTATAGAATTAGATCAAATCATATAATCATTAATTACGGAAATGCATTTAATTAATGGTTATGATTGTCTAATCGATTGATTAATAATGACATGAATATGTAATTTATTTACATTCTCGTGTATCTATGACTTATAAAGCACGGTGCCTTGGAGCGAGGTCAACATCGGGATTGAAAAGCACGATTCCTAATATTTGTCGATGATTCTTTATTAAGAGTTAAACGTACCCTTCTTGTTAAGAAATACACTTGCCAATTGTTTGTATAATTTTACTATTGATAAACGAATATAACATACGTTTCTTCATTCATGATATTTTACTGAGTCGATTTGACATGATAGCTTTGCAGTGTTATAACTTCTTAAATTCCCAAAATTCAAATAAATTTTTATGATTAATGAAAATTGCTCATTGCTTATATAACTCTATGTTACATTCCCTGTCAAGAATATTTGTTGCAATCAAAAGTTTATCTGATACATGTTTTTATGTGATGCTCATATTATCAACATTAAGCCCTTTTGGATGATAGTTAACACTACCAACAAGTCCACGGAGTCACAACTTTATCAAGATATTATTGAGTATCTTAAAAAATAGTGCCGACTGATGAGATTTGTATCTAATATAGGGTCATATTTGTAAATAGATGAAGTCTAGTGATTTATTTGTAAATGTTGGAACATGTAAGGTTTTATATAAGCTTGTAATCAACGAAATACAGATAATTTTTTTAGCAGTAATTTATATTTGGTATTAGAGCCCTAACATACTGCCTTCCGATGGTTCCGTGGAACTTTTTCGGCGTCGTCCTCGAATTTGCAAAGCAACCGCGATGAGTATGTTTGGATCGACGTCATCTTGGCGAAGCAATCGCAATTAGGGTATGGAATCGCAAAGCAGTAGCTACGCGACGAGCCGGGATCGCGAAGAAGCTGCGACGAGTAGGGTCAAAGGTGGCGGCGAGTCGAGATCTTGAAGCAGCAACAACGCGACAAGCAGGGATCACGAAGCAGCCACAACAAACAGGGTAGAGATCGGTGTCCTGATGAAGCAGTCGCGATTAGCAGAGTCGTCTTGGCAAAGCAGTCACGATTAGAACTAGCTGAGTAGGCTTCAGCTTCAAACAGGGAGGCAGGAGCAACTTAGTGGTCTTCATAATGCAACAATCATATCATCACGACATAGGGAGGTAGGCCAAGTTCGGTCTTGCTTGGGGCTCAAGCGTTCGGAAGGCGGCGGAGCAATGCCTTCGTTTTTGGAGTTGCTCGACGGCAGGGAGGTGAAGGATCGAAGTGGTTGAGGTTTTGAGTGTGGGACAGATGGGATGTGGCTTCGTGCAGGCTAAGGCAGAGTAGATCGCACGAACTTGCAAGAAGAAAGTTGAGTGTGATCTGTGTGATCTACACTTGATACTTGTGATTGAAAATGTCAGGAGACTGAGATAGTGCGAGAGGTAAAGGATTAAAACTTC